GTTCCACTCCATCCCGGCGAACGTCGTGGTGAACTGACGCGCCTGTCAGCGTCCGTACGAGGGTTAGGCGAAACAGCACCGGCACGCCCGATATTGTTCTTGATGTGAATCCCCAGGTATGGCCCGTCATGGCCACGAATTACATCGAGGCGTGCCGGCCTCTTCCGTGGTGTCAGAGTTTTGACCCAGACCCATACGCTTGGACCTAGAGTGGTTGGCGACAATATAGGTCCTCGTCGGATGAGACGAAAACCGCGGCCTCAAGGTCGGGCGAGACGGAGTCCACACCCAAGAGGTCGGGCGAAACGAAGCCCACGGCCTCGGGGTCAGGCGAGACGGAGCCCGCGGCCTTGGGCGAAGACGGAACCCGCATCCTTGGGGTCGGGCGAGACGGAGCCCGCGGCCTCGGGGTCGGGCGAGACAAAGCCCACGTCCTTGGGTGAGACGGAACCCGCGTCCTTGGGGTCGGACGAGACGAAGCCCGCACCCAAGGAGCGGGCGAGACAAAGCCCGTGGTCTCGAGGTCGGACGAGACGGAGCCCACACCCAAGGTTCGGGCGAGACGGAGCCCACGGCCTTGAGGTCGGGCAAGACCTTTCAATACGTCTCGAGCCATCCGACGAAGTCACCGTGGCCGCTAACTTGCTTACTTTGGGTATCCCTAATATCGATACCTGACAAAGATGGTCATCAAACAATGAACAAAGGCAAATTTGCTGCATTCAAGAAACTAATTAAATTCCAAATACTTGAATTGAATGCATTAAAATCAGCAAGTTCTCTGGCCATCAATTTCAGTTTTCTGAGCAAAATCCATTAATTTCCCCGATGCAACACCTGAGATGAAAAATCATCAAATATGCAAAGCTAACACAGCTTTATTACTGATATATAGGCATCAAGAATCACAGCAATACTCAAGCAAGATGATGCAGCAAGAGAGCAGGTAGAATTTCTTCTAAGATACACTCCATCATATGAACACACTGCAGTAGTATAATTCACATGTATGGAAAAATATGAACACGATGCAGTACTTAAAAAATGGCTACCCATCATATGAGTTGCAAAAACTCAGCAAAAGTTATACTACTACAATTCTGACAAAAGCTTTTATAGGGACAAATGGAAAATGATGGTCTATTGGAGGCAAATTGTATATACACAAAACAAACCATCCAACTGACCCCAAAGAATAAAAATATCCCCAATGTGGAAAAAAACTTAGTAGAACAAGACGAAGGAGCTTCAAGGAGTGCGAAGATGGGCGATAATGCCAGCTATGAGAAGGTAACCTTTTAATTTTCATTTTTGAGGTGAGGTTGCGGCCAGATCAATACAAGCATATATGCATTTGAACGTGAGCATAACCAATCTGAAACATAGCCAAGACTGAAACTGACAGACTAGATACTGAGATTTAGTACCTGAATCACAATGGGACTGAAATACTTCAACTGAAACTGAAAAATAAAATAAAAAACATGCACCAGGCTGGATTACAGAAACTCCACGCCAACAAAAAAAAAACTAAGGAGTCAATTAAGAAATACTTAAACTGAAAGTACACAATACTGAACTAATAGCATGACTGAACCTGGAACTACAGTATACAACTTCGGAAACCTGAATTAAAAGTAACCCAAATCTAAAACCAATGTAAACTCCTAAAGAAAACCTAAACTAAAATGCAAAAATTACTTGAATATATGAACTCTTGTAATACACGAGCAAACGGATATGAACTGATCTAAACCTCCATCTTTGCATGCCAAAGTAATGAGGTAATATAATTATGTTCATATAGAATGTACAGATCAATTATCATCCATCTCCAAATATAAATTAGACCACCATTGCAACATGGTTACCTTCAAATTGGTACATGAGCAAATCTAATCTGAGTAGACTGACAATGAGGCAAATATTGCAGTAACATGTGAACAAAAAAACAGTTTTCATGGCAACAGAAAAAAAACCTTTGATGGTTTGCTACAAACAAGCAAGAATCCCTGACTACTAAATCAGGAAAACTAAAAACACAACAGTGAATATACTGAACTGCTGCTGCATGAAAATACTGAACCTTAGTAACTGAATACCTGAATCACGATGGATTATGGATATGATAAATTCACAAATTTAAAAACACATAATTACAATATGGCTTCTTCTCTAGTCTGTTTTACCGCCTACTCGATATTATGTGTATCAATAACTGGAGTTATTTCCTGCTTTAAACACAAGGTTCAGACCACACAAAGGCTGGATGTTGTGATGGGAGGAGAATCATCACGAAATGAACAAGACCACATCAACACAGAGCTATCATCCCTCTACAATGCCTAGGATTCACAAGTTTGGAATATAAAAAAACATTGATAACACTAAACAATTATATATGGATATTCAATTATATGTGGGCGAACAAGCTCACCTATTTGAACTGTTGTCATTGTGAAAATAATTATACAGGGTTCCAAATTACAAGATGCCCAAAGGAAGACCCATTGTATTTAAACAAACTCACCCATCCAGCTGACCCCAAATAGCAAAAGTATTCTAAATTATGTTGAAAAAAGCTTAGCAACAACAGAAGAAGATGCTACAAAGATATCAGCAATGGATAGTGTTGGCAGCTATGAAGAGGTACAACAACATTAAACAATGATATTCAGTTCATGCATTTTAATTGCAAAATTTAGTTGTAACTACAATTATATTAACTAATATAATTATGGCTGACATGATATGCAGGGGCTACCACTTACCTTCACTGATTTAACCCCGCAAGATGCTTCAAACTTTGAGGTCAGATCAACAGCAAAGAAAACTGAGTGGTAAGAATTCATAAAGATCTATTTTCTCAAGTAGAAGTTCATACATTAAACTAGAGGCAAAAGAAATGTCAAAGAAATTCAAATATGACAAAACTGAATACTGAAAGATTCAAAGATTTAGAATAGGAAGACATCTGTTACAAACTTTGATAATGCAGAAACTTAAACGATGAACATCTCCTCTTCTTGGTATATATCTAATTGCATTTTTGGGACACTCTGATGTGCTTTTTGGGACACAACCTACCAACAAAAAGATGACTAAAATATACTCTATAACCTGACATACTAACAAAAATATGGCTGACATATACTATCCCATGTACTATGACATTTTTAACCTATCGAGAATATTCCAACTGTTTATGCCTTCTATTCATTTAGTTACAAAGATGGGGACTGATGCCCTGCAGAAAAAATAACACATGATAAATAAAAAAGTGATCATGATTATTGTGGTCTCACACAAAAAAAAGGCTTAAAAAGAAAAAATACCTCATCATAGAACTTGCTCACTAAAGACTTGTCTACGGAATTTGTTTTACTGAAGAATAATGTCATTGCAAGCTTGATCCTTATATTAGGAATATCAGATTGGGTGAACAACCGCCTCATGTCCAGGCTATTATCCTATAACTCCATGAATTTAATGGCAAATATCCCACAGTCACAGCTGAAACAATAAAAATATAAGCAACACGACAGAAAATTAATACAGAAAAAAAGGATATAAAAACTTACATATTTGATTGTTTTGGGACTGGTGGATATTGGATAGATAAATTCTCAAGGTCTAGTTTAACGTCAGCTCGTACCAACATTCCTTAAATGATGTGATCTAAAAAATATATTGCCAAAAGAAAAAAAAAGACAAAAGAATATCAACAAAAGTAGCATAAAAAGATTGGAATAGAAATTGTTTGCTGAATATTACACAAGCATGTCCCTCACGAAGATTTGGAAATGGTCATCTCTATCATAGTATGAGTCCAAGAAAACAGTTTGCGACAAAAACCAGCAATAAAGAAATTGTCAACAAGGCCACTAGGCTGAACTGATTCTCCCAATGAAAAATAAGTAACACTTGTCTTGAAAAAACTGAGTACATAATGAAGCAGAATTTCTACTAACCGAACTAACTCAACAAAATTCAGAAACTGAAACTCTGAATATTGCTGAAACACAGGTGCAAGCAATAAAATAAATATTTAGAAATGAAAATTGAAAAACTAATATAATGAAATCTGAAACACTGAACCTTGAACGGAAAACTCAAACACTAAACCTCAAACTCTAAACTAACATAAACTGAAATCTGAAACACAAGTGCAAGCATTAAATGAAATATTCATTTCTTCCCTCTTCCTATACTCTTTTTCATAATCTGTGAGCAGAATCAAGAGTCTGCATTCATTCAGATTTGAGATTCAGTTCAACTGAGCGAACAAAACTGTTGCCTAGTGCGCCGATCGACTCGGAGATTCTTTCTGAAGCACATTCCACACAATCGCAATGTCCGTCGACACTCAACAACATCTCGAAGCCCTCACCTACAGCAACGAACCGCATCACAGACGACAAAACCCCATTTCACCTCAATTAGCACAAAGCCCATCAGAATCGACTCCGCTTAGGAATAAACTGAACCACTGACGACAACAACTTCAGTGTGTGTAAAAAATCGAATAAATAAACTGGTGAGATATACGTTTATATATATGTGTGTGTAAATTTTGTAAGAATAGTATTACATAAAGAGAGGAGGCAGAGTAGCGAATGAATCAATCTCTGAACTTATTGTTCTTGCGTCACGGTAGTAGATGATCTAGGTGGGTAGCAAAACACTAGTGCTAGTATACTAGTACCTACTGAAACGATGCATACAAACAAACAAACAAACAGAAACAACTTGAGACAAGCAGGACATACCCATGAACATACTAGTAGCAGCTTAATAACTGTTTGTTCGATTCATCGAAGACCACACACTGGCACACAAGTCGGCTCGATCGGCATATCAACAGATAGATACAAATCATAGAAGAGCAGAGCAGGTGCTACCTAGGTACTAGCAGGTATTGGAATCGGCATGCATACCATACATATGGCGAGCAAGCAGTAGTAGCTAAGCTAATAAGCTACTACTTGGTGATGGTGTAGACGGCATAGATGATGCCGGGGATGTAGGTGAGGAAGGTGAGGAGGAGGCAGATCCAGGACTCGTGCCCGCACCCGAACAAAAAAGGAATGAAATCCAAAATCAAATGGAAGACACTAATGACAACACGAGCCTTCAGGACGGAGACGACGAGAGAAGCACAGCCTTCACCGACAATGACGCTAGAGCCGGAGTTGTTGTCGGCACCACCGCCTCCGCCTCCGCCTATGCCGCCGCCTCCGCCTACACCTGCACCTCCACCTCCGCCTCCGCCAACGCCAGCACTGGCGTCGGTACCTACGCCTATGCCTCCGCCTCCGCCTCCGGCGAGCAACAAGCTCTCTCTCTCTCTCTTCTCTCTCTCTCTCTCCCTCTCTCACCTACACAGAACAAAATATCTGAATGGATAAGCTAAATAAAAATAAAAAAACAGCACTAGAAGCCGGTTAAGCGGGGAAGATAAGCCCAAAAACAAACTAAAGCGGCCCAAAAAGAAATAAACCCACACAAGATAACACGGATCTCAACAGAATCTCAGCCATACAAAACTGATTGATTAAGACATAACAAATCATCCGATAGATGAATAGAAATTCTCTAAAAAAATCAACCGAAATGCATCCCTAAAAAAATCAAACCAAAATGCAAATTAAATTTTGATTGTATTATTGTGTTCTTACAATAAATATTTCAAAACACTATCTCACTTTAGTATATTTAGATAATATTATCTTTAAAACAATTTTCTTATGAAGATAGAACATTTTCTTTTTATGATGAAGGGATAATGTTCTAGTTTAGGAAAACATGTTTCGCCTTTACAAGAAAAATATTATAGATTCAAGAGAATAATGTTCTACATTGAAAATAAATTCCAATATATAATGTGCATGTAGTTAGCATAGAATCATAGTTCTTTTCATTTCTTTGTGAGGCTGTCATCAATTTCAAAAAAGGAAAGATATATTGAAAGTCTCTTTTAAGTTTTGGTAATTATTGACAATATTTGTGGACTAATAATTTCATATGAGACATGAAAGGTTAAGTGCTAGCCTACGAGCGAGAGTGAACTACGTGAAGGCCATGAAATGGCATGAACCATGTAATGCAAAAGGCTCAACAAGGTGCAAATAAAGATGATGGGAGACAAAATGAAGGCATATGCATAGTTTTCTCTTTCACCGGCATGCGAGGTGTTTAATGGAGTAAGGTGGCCGGATTGATAAGTTAGATAGTTGTACTATGAGAAAATATATTTTTGGCCCTAAAAAAGGTCCGGCTTACTTTTTTGGTCCATTTATTTTTGAACTTACCTATTTAGCCTAAAAGCTATATTTAGTTTCTTATATGACCCTTCCATTCGTTTTAGGACTTGATAGTGTTAAGTCAAAGCATGAAATGATGATTTTGCCCCTGACTGAAAAATGGATTAGTGCAGAGTTCGATTTGCCTGTGTTTAATTTTGACAACCCTAAACCATTTGGAATATTCCTCAAAGTTAAACACATACAAATTGAACTCTACATTTAGTCATTTATCACTTAGGGGTAAAACGCTTGATTTAACACCTTTACGTTCTAAAACTAATGGAAGGGCCATATAAGGAACTAAAGATAGCTTTCGGGCCAAATTGGTATGTTCAAAATAAAAAAAAAGGCAAGAAAGTAAGTCGAACTTTTTTAGGGCCACGAAAATGATTCTCTCTTGTACTATTAAGTGGGGCAAAACATGTTTGCACACAATTTAGTGCCACTTGTGAGATCAATATATGCATTGCACATAGATTCAAGTGGTGTTTTGAAAATCATATAACAAACCTTTGAAAATGTTTGAAAAATGCTAACTAATGTTTAAAGGTATTGATCATCCCGTAAGAGATCATATGGAGTTAGCATGTTAGAAAAAAAATTGAAAAACAAGTTGAATGCACTATTTTTAGGGTCACTGGAGCTTTGGAACATTGACCAGTCAGGTTGTTTTCAAGCGCTTAAACATAACCTTACGATGTGCACCGGAGCTTTGGAAGGGTGCACATGCACGGTGATGCCAAATTCAGAAACTCACCGGAACTCGGTGTGACATAGGAGAGGTGCATCGGTGAGTGACTCCAGAGAAAGTATTTTTCTGTGCAATTTCAGAGCTAACACGCACCTGGGCTCTCTGGTGTTGCACCAGAGTTATAGCAGCTCTTTCAGCATAGTCGAGCACATTACAAGTTAATATTGTAGGAGCTCTCCGGTGCTCACTGAAGCTATCCGGTGCTCCTCTTTTCTGAGCATTGAAAGGGTATAATGACTAGTTTTGTTATTTGTGTGGGAACTTATAAATAGGTGTTCGCCGAGGCTTGGCCACTCTCTTGCAAAACCGACCCATACGGTTTTGAGAACCTACTATACTATGCTGGTTTTTTGGGTCTTGCTGGAATTCTCAAGCAATGGTAGCGATCCTCGTCCAGGCGTACTATCATGTCCTTTGCGTGCCAACACCTTGCTTATTGCAGTTTGTTATCTGGATGAAGTGGCATGTCGTTATGATACTGATAGTATGTGATTTAGGTGATGGGTCTTGTTTTCTAGTAATTGTGCTCGTGATTCTCACGCAATTATACTCAGATGGATACGATCTGTCAAAAAGTTCAGGTATCATTGCCTCAAAAAGTTCAGGTATCCTCAAGCCTTCAGGCTCTCTCTAAAATCCAAATTTGTTCTGCACCACTGGTTCTTAGATATTTCAGTATTGGCATGCAGGCAATTACCGGTTCATCTTTATAGCCTTATCTATTGTCGGCATCCTACAAATTTTATACACATTGGTACAGAATGCATACGCCTAGTATACTCAAAACAAAACAGTAAATTTTTCTAATCCATTATATCTCGTGAGTTTCAGCCTTCAGGCAGCAATGATTCACCAAAACCATGACCCATCACATCTCAGAGGCACTACCTCTGCGATTCAGAAACTAGAACAAAATCCTTGTGCCGAAGCATCACAACACAACTTAATGGGATTCACGTGGTAACTGACTAGTAAAATGTATTCATGCCTGAATGCCTGCGCACGGGATTTACGTGGTGGCGGCAGCCAGCTCGTGCATTTGGGAAACGGGAACTCGCCGAGATTTCCATCCAGGTCATGGAAACGTGGCAGTCCAATCCAAGCCTGTGTTTTCCAGCTGATAACGTAAGATTTTGTCCGTAAGCTTTCATGGTCACTAGACCATATGCATTTCGTCAAGCGCAGCCTTGTTTTTGTAATCCATCTACTCGTACATAGGAAACCAGCTGATGGTAAAGCGTCCATCATGCTGGCTGTTTGCCTGAGTTGTTACCCACTGGAACTCAGGTCTGGTCGGTGTTTTGACTGAACTGGTATGCAGCGTGAGTGCATTTTTGGTGGCGAATCGCGATGATTGCTTTGCTTCTTTGCTGAGATCGTCCGAACACCATGATGATGAGCCCTGCCCTGGCACAGCACAGGGCAGAGAGCCAGGGAGAGTGGATCTGTGGATGGATGGGTACCAAGACCTGCGGACGCCCCGACGCCGATGCGATGTGCCTCCCTGTCGTCTCTGCCCTGGCCTTACGGGCGGGTGGTGGCTGCTCGTGCTTTGCCCTGCTGCACTGCATGCCTGCGTCTGTCTATTGGTGGTCCAGTCCAATCCTGGCTTGTTGCAGGGCAGGTTGCATTGCTTGCTTCGTGCATGGCCTTGCTGCTGTACGCTGGGCCAGCGGTCGACCTGTCGATCGCGGAGGCGCCCGGCCGGCCGCGCTCTGTGCCTTTGGCGAGCCGTAGTGGTGCTAGTGCGTGCGTGATCAGCGAACAGATTGCACTCTACGAACAGTGCTATGCAGGGAAAGGCAAGAGAGGCCGGTCGAGATGCGGAGCAGCCTGGCGTCCATCTCGTCGCCATCGCAGCCGGCCTGGTGCTCGCGGGGCAATAGTGGCGTGGTGCTACTACTGTGCACGGCCTGCATGCAGCTGCAGTCTTGGTGCTACTACTGCACCTGCATGCAGCTGCAGCCTTGAGGTTGAGGTCCAGTGTGTGGCCGGGGCACGGTTGCCATCAGCGCCGGCATGATCCAGGCACCACCAAAGTACTGAATAGCGTCGCGGCTTAGATATAGCGGGTTGGAACTTAGTGTACACTATTTGACGCAACAAGTCGCTATAGCGGCCATTATTTGACATAACAGCATAGCGGTCTAATTCTTAATTTAAGATATATTTGATCAAAATCAACTCTTCAAGTACAATTAAATATCTATTTGCACTATTTAAGTTATATATTTATGGGTACCCTATATTTATTTGTCTATCATTGATTTGTATTTTGTTGATTTTTTAATTTGTAAAAAAGTCATTTTTAAGATATAACCTAAATTATATGAGATTATTAGATATAGTTATTGGAACTTAGCGTCCGCTAACTGCAATCCGTGACGTAGACGTCCGCTACAGACCCATTACCCGCTATTTGTTACTTGGGCACCACTGAAATAGTCCAACGCCCATCACTCGGGGTCGGGGTGGCATTGCTGATTTTATGTGGCGTCCTTGGACCGCACACGGACAGCCTGTTATTGCAGTCCTAATGGACAAATATTGTCATTGACTCTGGAGAAATGAAGGAAGTAAAGGCACCATCCCCCCTGTTGCCGTCCATGTCAAAGGGAGTTGCTTTCGTTTACGCTCGATTCGCGCGGCAACTTGCACCGGTTCCACCGCGCCACGCCGTATCCCGCACGCCCGAGCGCGGAGATCACTCCGGCGATGACGAACGAACGACGACTCCGACTCCTCCGGCGTTGGTGGCATGGCATGGGGCGGGCGGACCGCGGGACGACGACTGGACCGCGCCACCGACCGCGGTGCCGACATGCCGAGCACCGCGCCCATGTCGTCGGCACGCCATCATATCCTGCAGGCGGTGCATGCGCAGGGAAAAACTGCAGGCGACTCGTTCTGCTCCTCGTCTGCAGGCGACTCGAGAGGCTTCCCCGCCGCCCGTTATTGAGGGTAGTAGGTCAGGGCGTCAGGCCAGGCATTGACATCGGTACAGGCAGGTCAGAGTCCACAGGCACGCACAATTATCTGTTTTTTTTTTTTTGTAGCGAGCTGTAAAGCCGATTGGTTGGGGCCGGGTCGCCGGGATCCACAAGCGAAGAACACTGTTACGGATTACAGCGAGGGAGAGGATACAGTTAGATAAAGAAAGTGGCCGGAGGACTGAGGGGCTGGGAAGAGAGGGTGACAGCGAGACGGCCTTGCCGCTAGTAGTACTCGATCACACTGCACCGGCCATCATGTCGTTTTTTGCAACAACTTGCACCGCTGCAGTGGGACGGACGGACGTCCGGATCCAGCTCAAGGCGAGGGCCACTGCAGTACTGGCTCGCAGTCGCAGCAGGGAGC